GAATCAACGAATATTTGATTCCTAAATTCGTGGTATTCATTGTGAATCGACATGTTTTAAGGTCATTCTTTTTGTTCGCCGTTTATTTATCACTTCACATCAGTTGGTATCGGAGTATAGCCACATTTCTATTAGATACAAGTTGGTGTTACTGAAATACAATGTCACAAATTTTGTTTTGGGACGAAACTCATTTTGCCCTTTTTAATCCAGAGATGCAAAAGAATCTTTCAATTTGGATGATGATGGCTACAATGGCTCTTTGATCTTCGATAAAGAGCCATTAATTGTAGGCCTTGCCTACCCATCACTTGGATATGAGAACCCATTAACCAAAATAGTTAAAGTTCATAGGCTTATTATTAGCCTAAATATTGAAGAAACTTATGAAAATGGGGTCCAATATGCAATTTGACATTCTCCAGCTTCTTCATTGAAGACCGGATGACCATTGTAACTAAGATTCAAAGATACTTTCGCATTCGAATTAAAAGGGTCGAAGAGTTTCGTCCTGAAACAAAACTTGTGCTATTTGGATTTCATGAATACCAGTTTGTCTCTATCAAAAATGTGGGTGGGCTCTGATACCAACTGATACAATGTTAAGCGTGAAATAAGTTGACGAACACAAGAACAAACCTTAAAAACAATATGTTTCACAAAAATATCGCGAATTTAGAAATCACATATTTATTGATTTTTTGCTAAGAATAATGAATTCTTAATCTTGACCTCAAAATCGTTGATTATAATGAGTATTGATTTAGGATCGACAAATTGGAAGAATTTAAATATTGGGAGAAATTTTCTTTCCGAATTTTATTATATTAAAATTTTGAATGTCTTTAATTAAAGTTTACAACTCTTATCAAAGCAAAATAATGATAATAACTAAAATCTAGATAATGATAAAGATTTATATTCCAGAATTGAATTCCGAATTTATTTACTAAAGAAATATTAAGCCCCCGTTTGTCCCCTACTGTTTGAGATTTTAATAGTTGGAATAATATTTTTTTGAAAAATGTGTGGATAAAAAAGAAGATATTTTTTTTGGAATTACATGATGAATTATAATTTTAATGGGCCAAACATGGGCTAACTAAATGATAATTAAAAAATCCTAATTGTAAATGAAATATAAAACATAGATAAAAGTTGCATAAATTTAAAGAAAATTAGGCATACATTTAATCTTCGTCATTCTCCTCTTATTAACAAAGATTCATCCTTGAATCGTGTATGGTATCTTCATCAAAACGAAAAGAACGAATAAAGAAAACCATCGAAATTTGTTGAGGTACACCTTGAAATCCATCATAACCATCATAGCTTATGTCAAATTGCATATTAGACCCCATTTGCAGAAGCAAGTTTTCTTCAAAATTTGGGCTAGTAGTAGGCACATGACCTCCAACTATTTAGGTTAATTGGTTCTCATATCTAATTGATAGGTAGGCAAGACTCGTAATTAAGGCTCCTCATCAGAGATTGAAGGGTCCTTGTAGTCGTCATCGTCCAAATTCAAAGATTCTTCCGCATCTAGATTATAAGGGGAAGAAGAGTTTCGTCCCAAGATAGAACTTGTGACATTGGATTCCACGAACACCAGCTCGTTTCTGTCAAGAATGTGGTTGTGCTTAGATATCAATTGATGCAACATAAAGCGATAAATAAATGACAAACAAAAAGAACAACCTTAAAGTATGTTGATTCAAAAAGAATATCGCAAATAATCTAATATTCTTTGATTCGTCAAAGAGAATATTGAATTCTTGATCTTGACTGCAAAATCGTTGATTCTAATGAAAACCGATTTAGGATCGATAAATTGGAAGAAATTCAATAGTGGAAGAAAATTTCTCATAAAATTGAATGTTGTCTTTAATTAAGATTTACAACCCTTATTTAAAGCAAAATAATTATAACGACTAAAATCTAAATAATGATAAAAATTAAAAGTCTAAATTGAAATTCAATTCCGAATATATTTACTAAAGGGAATACCAACTAAAAGATGATTAAAAACTCCTAATTGTAAATGAAATATAAAACATAGATAGAAATAAATCGAATAACTCATTGTTTCTCAATATTTATGAATTTTTTGGCAGCTTTCTATCCGTTTGATACAATTGTTTGTAGATGCTTATGACGTATGGTTGATCTTTTTGAACTTTGTTGCAGGTGTCAAATTCTACAGACAAACAGAAGATTAAGGTGGGCCATCAGCAGCATCCTCCTGTTACTAATTCTTCACGGGGCGTAGCCATGAAGTCTGATGCTTCAAAGATATCTAGCCTGGGTAAGCTTCAAGTTCTGAAGCCAGTGCGAGAAAGAAATGGCGCCTCTCCTGCTGTGAAGGAAAACTTAAGCCCAAGGGGTGGTATCAAAGCAGCGAATTCCTCTCTTTATGTTGCTCCATCAGTTTCTGGATCTGCAGCAGTTAGGCCTCCCCCAAACAACCTGGTACTTCCTACTGTTGAGGGCAAGCCCGTATTTTCTGCGTTGGAGAAGCGACCCACTTCACAAGCTCGAAGCCGAAATGATTTTTTCAACCTCATGAGGAAGAAATCTATGGCAGATTCCTTGTCTGTTTCTGATCTTGGCACGCCCGTGTCCTCATCTGTATCTGATAAGCTTGGTGAAATACAGGTAACCTCTGCTCTTACGACTACTCAGGCTAGAGATGGACAATCACCTGTTAGCTTGTGTGGAGGCCACTTGTCCAAGGAGGGGGGTGATTTCACCTGCAATGTTGATGTTATTGAGAGCCAAAAATGTCTTTGCAATGGAACGAAATATCCTATCTTAGATCCATTATTTTCAGAGGAAGAGGCTGCCTTTTTACGCTCTATGGGCTGGGAAGAAAATGCTGAGGAGGGTGGTCTTACCGAGGAGGAAATCAATGCTTTCTACGGAGATGTACAGAAGGTATAAGAAATTGTTGATATAGGATTTTTGTATTGCCTCTTTATGATATAAGCTGAAGCTCATGTACCTGTAATTTATAACTTTAATTGTTTCTGATGCTGTTGTGCAGTATATCAATTCGAAGCCATCCCTGAAAATTTTGCCTGGAGTACTTCCGAAGATTTTGTTGCCCTTCAACTTGCAAGGCATTGGTGTCATTTCTTCTGGGTTTGGCTCATCTGATGCTAAGCTGGAATCTTGATTTACTGATCTTTATCATGGGTTTCCTTTTGGTGTTTCTTCAATTTATTTCAACTCTAAGGGTACCTTACTAGGTGCCAAAAGAGGATGGATGCATTAATAATAGTTTTGCCGTGTCTTGGAAGTGGGATAGAATAAGTAAACGGCCAGTTCCAACTCCCTACGTGACTTCTGATGACCGAGTTCTAATGTTTTCTAAAGGTCGAAGGTTGAGTAAAGAAAATAGAATAGGTTGCTTATCAAGGTGCTTCAAGAAATTGCTCGGTTTGCAAAGTCGGTATCTAACGGTTTTTGGTTTTTGAATAGACTTTCTATCGAAGCACGGTTTCTAAAGAAATTTTAGCTTCTCTTTACTTGTGGGTTTATTTATTTTTTCATGCGTTTATTTTTTTATTGCTATCTTAATTTGTGCTAAAGGTATCTCTATGGATACAGAGAACGATAGAATGTCTAGTCTGGGTTTAAGTTCTTAGTCGGGAGTCGAGATGCTGGTTTCGAGGGAATCGTGAATGATTTCCAGGCCGTTGTCTGGTTTTCTGTTTCTTGCTATTTTATCATCCACGTCATTTCCACTCCTAATTTAGATGAAGAGTTCCTATTGTGACGACATATTTGCACTATTTTCTTGTGTTGAGCAATGAAGAGAAGTGGAAGATAAATGTAGCTCATGTTCAATGCAAATTTATTTGAACAACTGTTGAAGACGGTTTTGAAAAGGTCAAAAAATAAAAGGTTCAAATTTTGTCATAAGGTCGAGTACAGCAGTGGACATGGTTATCAAAATCGTGATCGAATCATAGGACTGTGCCCAAAATTGGTCTTCATTAAATGAGATTTTGGAGGAAAACGAGTTTTGGAATAATGAATTTTCGGAGAGCGTGTGGTTAAAGAATAAGGAAAATGTTTGAGTTTAGGCGTAACGTTAATTTATGGGAGATTATGTGGTTGAAAATGAATTTTGAAAAAATGTATTTTTGGAGATATGGAGTCCAAATAGGGGCATAGTACGAGTTCAAGATTTGTAAATGAACTGAGTTTTTGATACTCTCTTCTGATAATGAATGGACAACAGCAAAACTTTCCTGTAAAGTAGGTTATGTGTGATGTGTAGAATAAAGCAAGGTTTAAGAAAGTGAATTTAATACTGAAAGAGGGAAAAAAAAATTCATGCAAAAACAAATTCGATGTCTAATATTGTGATAATGCCGATCATAACACCATTAATGAAATAAATGGTGAACATCATTTTTTATTCCCATGAAATTGGATGGAGTTACCTGATTGAAATCGAATCAGAGTATAATTATTTAATTAAATAAAATTGAAGTACAATTGCCTGATTAATAGTAGGCAAAATATAGTTATAGTAAATGAAATTTACCCTTTTTTTGTCTGAATTTTGTCCTCGACCTTTGAGAAATTAGTAAAGTTCTTCCTTACCAATGATTTCCATCAAAAAATCTATTAAATTTTTATCAAATGATAACCTTACCCTTCAACATAAAAAGGAAATTTGAGAAAAAACCAACCAAGAAAAAGAGGAAAAGACCAAAAATAATAAAAGAAAAGAAAGAGGAAATAAAGAATATTTCCTCTTGCTCAAATGTAATCATGTCCAAATGATTCAATTGGACAGAAAATCACATGCTTTATTGAGCTATACGTAGGCAATTGCAGCGCAGGCAGTTATGTGACTACTGCCTGCGTACGCAACATTTACGAATTATTATAAAAAAAATAAAAATAAATTAAAAATCGAGCCGATTCAGCTCTGGCTCGACTCGTAAAGGTCCAAGCCGAAAGCTCGGGTCAAGCCTAAATTTTTTGGCCGAGGAAAAACTCGGCTCGACTCAAGCAAAAAAAGTCCGAATCATTTTTACTTGAGTCGAGCCTGAGTTTCAAGTTTCGGCTTGTGGCTTGACTTTGTTCGACTCGTTGACCATCCTAGTTATAGTTATAGGTTGATTTGGTTCTTAATGTTCTTATATTAATCATTTTTTATTTCAAATCTTCGATTTAAATGGTAAAGTTTGGAAGCGGAAACTTCGAGGATTCAAATGTGACTTCTGTTTCTCTTTGCTAGGATCTGTTGCTGGTGATCTCCTCGATCATGCTTAATCACACAAACAATTTTCTCATTGTTTGTTTGCAAAGATCCAAAGATCAGTTGAATGAAAATTTTGTTTAAATTAATAGTTAGATGCCCATAAATTTTGTTGTAAATCCCATAAAAAATAATGGTTTTTTCTGCTTAGTAACCAAATTCTATAAGAGCCTCGATTGAGTTTGTTTGATTGGGATATATTCAAATCTCGAGTTCAATGCACTAATAGCTATAATTACCCACAAACAAATATTTTTTTTTTTTTTGACAAGAACTGCCAATAGGACAAACTTTGCTAATTTCGCAAAGGTTTGGGACAAAAAGGGTAGCGTATATGTCGCTACTTTAGCCAAAGGTTTGAGATGAATAGTGCGATTTACTTGTAACACGAATTGTACATGAATTTTGCAATTTTTTACAAAATTACACATGATCTTAACTGTCCCAAAACAATAAAACTGTTCTCCTCCCACTCAGAATTGGACATTCAAAATTTATAGAGCATCTATGTGCAATCAAATATATATATAAAAGCATTGCATATCAGCATTTAGTAAAATAAATGAAAAATAAAGAAAACAATTCCAAAAATTAATTACTTCATCCTTACCAAACACCCCCCAACATTAGTGTGGTATTTTCAGACTTTTAGGTTTGACTTTTAGATAAAGTGGGTAATAAACGATATCTTAAGTTATCGAAAAACTACATATTTTGCAAAAAGAATGTCACAAATACGTTCGGATGTTTAACTTATATTTTTTAAATAAGATGAATCCAACCTACATATAAAAAGTTTGTAAATATGAATACTATAAATAATTTCATCTCTCGCTCTCTAATAATTAAAATATTTAGACAACGTTGTTTAACTTATAATTTTTCAAGAGCATGAAGCAAACAAGACGTTAGTCATGTTTAGACAGATTAATGGAATAAATGATTTTTCAAGACAAGTCTAAGGTTTGATTTGACATCTAATGGAAACTCTGTCGTCATTTATTCTTAATTTTTCAAGGTATGGCTTGAAAGTCGGATTTCGCATTGACATCTGTTTTGATTTACAATGATACTTTTGAAATGTAAAGAATGTATGATTGCATGAAATGTATTTCGTTGAAAACTTGATGGATTGGTCCCACCTACACCTCTACATTTTCTTGAAGGAGTGATTATATTGGGTTTGCAATATTTTTTTTTTAATAAATGTACCATTTATTATTTACCAGAAAGGTCCGTAACCTTTACTCGTTATCATATATATGGTTCTAGCCTTTTCATCGCGTTCTTATTTCTTAAATTAATACGAGTTTTCCCCGATGACGGGTTCTGTAAAAAAAAAAAAAAAATCATTAAAATAGAGTAAGAAAAACTTATTTGTCCTCGCATTTTTAAAAAAGACAAAAAGAAAATACAAAAATTAGACATAATATTCGTCACTAATTTTACAGCATGAACAACGTTTTTTCAACAAAAATGGTGATTAAGGATAAGATTTGCTAGTTAATAAAATTTTAAAAACACGATGAATACGTGACTATGAATACATGTTAAATGTCTTTAATATAATTAAATTATGGTATATTTACAAAAAAATGTGGTGCAAATGTAACAACTCGAAGAGAGCTATTATAGGTTTAGTACAGTCTCACGAACGTCCCTAACAATAAAAATTATCGATTTAGTAGCAGTGGTGGAAGAAATATAACTAGTTGAACCACTAATATCCTTTAAAGTTAAAATATATTAAAGATTGTAATTAATTTTGTAATTGCAATATTTTTTGAAAGAGTGGGCAAAGTAGCTATCACCTGCTTTAGCAGTGTAATGGTTATAAATTTCAAGTAAAATGCTAAATCACCTGGTCATGGTCAAGGCCACATGGGCCCGACCATATGGGGGGCCATGTGGTGACCCTTATGGCTAGGGGTTTGTCGCGCCACATGGCACCTGAGGTTTTGAAATAAAATTTGTTTGACAGTTTGACTACAAATAACTCTAGGGTCCACCACCCCAACTAAAGGAAAAATAATGAATAATTCTTCACTATTTCATTTTTAAAAAAAATATTATTCACGGTCAACAATTTCAGTAGTCATTTTAAAAAAAATGTTATTCATAATCAACGGCTGCATTGCTCATTCTTATGTTGCAACATGTTATTTGAAGTAATTTGTTGCTTCAAATAACATGCTACCGCATAAAAATGATTACTACAGTAGATAACTTTGAACAGTATTATTCTTTAGACTAACAACGTGCTATTTATATTTCTTTAATCAAATCATTTTGACTTTTCAAGAATAACCTAACTAATTATATCCACATGTGCTATTGAAAATGTCAAAGCAATTGAATATTTTTTTTGTTATTTGATCTAGCACTTTATTTACTTATCTTGTTTTCGATAAATTTAAAGCCAACTACACGATTTCTTTCTTTCGTGAATATATTATTATATTTTCTTGCTACATCTATCTAAGTATACTATGTGACAATATCATTGACAATCATTGTATATCTTGTTAATTTTAGTATGCTTTTAAATTAAAAATCTAACACATTCTACAAATATGCACCAATCTTTACATCAATATGCCTAACGACATATCTATTATGATTGAAAGTAAACTTATCACAACCCTTTATCTGATTTCAACGCTTGCTATATATAAAGAAGCATCAATGAAGTTACTTTATTATATCTTACAATTGTCAATATTTTTTTTTAACAATGATATAATGCATTTTTTTTCTTTTTTTTCTTTTGCGTACAATATATTGAATGATGTAAAATTATCTAACGATTTTAAATTTTACATGTTTAAAAATTATTAGTCATAGTGTATTGCATGTTATTCTAAATACTTTCTATGTGTTGTAAAAGTAATATTTGA